TTCTGCCTCTTTCATACAGGTTAGTGTAAATGAGACAGAAACAAGGGTAAACAGAAGCTGGGGTAATTGCAGTAAAGTTAGGATGAAAATCACAATCTTTATTAGTTCCATTCATTAATATTTATCTAAACTGTGTTCAAATTACAGATAGATCATGAATCAGATTATGATTTTTTTTCTCCTGTTTTTGCCTAAATAGCACATCTTGGAATCTCTTTAGCCAAGTTAATGTATCAAGTGGAGCTCAAGCAATTGGTCTTCAAAATACCAGTCAGCTTCAAAGGCAGACTACCTTTTCCAGATTGCAGCTGAATTATGTACGGAGCCTGCTAAAAAGCCATGAAGTTCACAGCCTCCATATGTAAGAATAGAATTCAGGATATGTTTGCTTTAGAGCAAATTGTTTGTTCAGATAAAAATTATATGACTGTGAGTCTTAAGATCCCCAGAAATTAAGTCTTAGTGCATCATGTGAGCATGTTTCTTGCATAGCGACGAGAACAAGGTACATCTAAGAAACATTCTTCAGCTAAGTGTGGTAATTATTAGATAATGCATTTTGGAAAAGCCACTGGAGAAATAAGAGTTGCTCTTGCCATGAGGGTGCTCCTGATTCCTCCTGTGGGGCAGCAAGGGGCTAGAACAGCATAAACCTGATGTAAAATAATGTATGTGCTGACTGCCATGGTAATAAGCTATACTAAACTATATTGTCAAAAAAGGCTATTTCAGATGAACACTTAGAAGGGTCTTTATTAGCTTCAGGTAAAGCCATTTTAACTTGATCTTTTAATCTGCTTCATTCTTAGCAGCGGTTAAGGCATACCTCAGTGCCTAATTGTGTTGCACTGATAATGTGTCTGCCTCTGATTATTTTGGACTGAGGTTCTGACTGTCAACAGCTAGCGTTTGTAATGTCTCCCTTCCATATGGTGTTGTGTAAGAAGGTTTTGTTCTGTGGTTGACTGCAAGGCAATAACTTTTTTTCAGTGTTATATGAGGGTATTGAAGTAGCTTGTGTTTTATCAGTAATGCTTGGAGTATCTCTCACCCCTTACTGTCTTGACCTCTGTCATGTTATGTGTGATGTATATAAAAACAAACGTATATAGCTAAATGTCTCTATCTCAAATTTGCCTTTGCCTATTATATAGTAACAATGAACTAGTAGTACAAGTGACAGGCTTTTGCAGTGATTCCAGAGGAGAAAAATATTAAATTGCTTGAAAAAAATATTGGTGATGTTTTTCTTTTTACTTCCAGTAAAGGTGAGCTTTGTGTTTGATGTGGTACCTGCTCAGTCATAATACAGCAGGATGAGGTAGCAACTTGTTACATCAGTGGTGGGAACTGAAATCGGTGCAAGATCTAGGAGTTTGATGAAATGCTTAAGCAGGATTTCGGGATTTCCTCCAAACTTCTCTTGGCTGGCACTTGTTTTCAAAAAAACAGAGGTTACTCACCAGGATAAAATGTTAAAGGTAGTACCTGGGAGCCAGTTGATCTTGCTGAATGAAAGGAAGAGATATCTGGAAATGTTGGTTTGGCCTGCGGGATTATTCCTTTACATAACTCACTTTTTAAATGAAGGTTGATTTATTTTTTTTTAATTACTGTATCACAGTATCACAGTATGTTAGAGATTGGAAGGGACCTCAAAAGATCATCTAGTCCAATCCCCCTGCCAGAGCAGGAACACCTAGATAAGGTTACACAGGAACGTGTCCAGGCGGGTTTTGAATGTCTCCAAAGAAGGAGATTCCACAACCTCCCTGGGCAGCCTGTTCCAGTGTTCCGTCACCCTCACTGAGAAGAAGTTTCTTCTCAGGTTTAAGTGGAACCTCTTGTGCTCCAATTTGTACCCATTACCCCTTGTCCTTTCATTGTTTGCCACTGAGAAGAGCCTGGCTCCATCCTCGTGACACTCCCCCTTTATATATTTATATACACTAATAAGGTCACCCCTCAATCTCCTCTTCTCCAAACTATAGAGACCCAGCTCCCTCAGTCTTTCCTCATAAGGGAGATGCTCCACTCCCTTAATCATCTTAGTTGCCCTGCGCTGGACTCTCTCCAGCAGGTCCCTGTCCTTTTTAAACTGAGGGGCCCAGAACTGGACACAATATTCCAGATGAGGTCTCACCAGGGCAGAGTAGAGGGGAAGGAGGACCTCTCTCGACCTACTAACCACCCCCCTTCTAATACACCCCAGGATGCCATTGGCCTTCTTGGCCACAAGGGCACAGTGTCGGCTCATGGTCACCCTGTCGTCCACCAGGACCCCCAGGTCCCTCTCCCCTACACTGCTCTCTAACAGGTCGTTCCCCAGCCTATACTGGAACCTGGGGTTGTTCCTGCCCAGATGCAGGACTCTACACTTTCCCTTGTTATATTTCATCAAGTTATTCCCCGCCCAGCTCTCCAGCCTGTCCAGGTCCCTCTGGATGGCAGCACAGCCTTCTGGCGTGTCGGCCACCCCTCCCAGCTTAGTGTCATCAGCAAACTTGCTGATAGTACACTCAATTCCCTCATCTAAATCGTTGATGAATATATTAAATAATACTGGTCCCAGTACCGACCCTTGAGGCACTCCACTAGATACAGGCCTCCAACTAGACTCCGCCCCATAGACTACAACTCTCTGGCTTCTCTCCTTCAGCCAGTTCACAGTCCACCTCACTACCCGATCATCCAGACCACAATTGAGCAATATTTTGACATGATCATGTCTCAGCAGCTCTTCACTATAAAAGACATTTTTACAATAGCCAGTTTAAATCTATGAATAAATCTATTAGGAAATCAAGTTTGCATAATAGTTTAACTGTCCAATAGTTTGTTTTCAACATAGCACCTTAATTTGAAATAAGATTCATTAACTGTTTATTGTGGATATCTGAGTTACAACATTAGAAATTCAATTTTATTTTTTTTTGTAATTAAAATCCTTTCTATAATGCTCTTAGAAGTAAACGCAAATAGTATGTATCCACATAGATGTAAAATGCATTGGTGTGCTTGTCAGCTCATGTATTTAGACTGTCTCAGAAGCTTTCGGTACAGTGTTCTGTTTTCATTTTCTCCTACCCATCAGAAATCTTTGAAAGTTTCCCTGCTTTCGTTCTGGGTAGGTATAAGGAAACTTTGACAAGAATAATTATTTATTTTTTTTACTGGGACATCCGCTATAAGTCTGTAAATTTAACAAAAGTGGTAAATACTAACTTAAAATTACCATCTTTGTGTAGCTTTCCTACCCACAAAGCTTAATTTTTACAACTATACTAGTATCTGTTTATGGTATACAAGTATATCTTTTAAACAAGCTGTAAGAAATCTGAACATTTAACTCTACATCACCATCCTCCTTCACAGCCTTTACCAGGCTTTTCCCAAATGAAAGTGAATAAAATAAAATTATGTGCTCAAAGGTACGGCTTCATCTTCTGCTCAGCTGCTGAAACACGGTGGTACAGCTGTCCTATTTCTGCAACTCTGTTGAAGCAACTACATAGATGTTTTCATAGCTTCCATTACCCTTTCTCTGGGAGGGCATACTGACCAGCCACTGAAAGAGACAAACAATTGTCCTGAAATTAGAAACATTTGTTCTCAATGTTATCAATAATTGTAGATACTGTGTTAATTTATACTACAGAAACAAAAATTAATCATGTTGTTCCTAAGACTACATACTGAACTGTACACAGGTTTTCTCTCTTGTATTCTTTAATATTGAATTGGTTTAATATTAAATCCAAAATGGATTAAAACTTTCATTGTCTTATTTCTATGTGTATCTGTTTGTACCATGTCTGCCTACATAAAGCTGTGACTGTAATTTGATGTTTATGGTTTGTATCAGCTCTGTGTTATGTTCACTTGTATCCCATACTTCCATTGAGCTGCTTCTGAAGTTTTCAGATTTTACTTTTTCTTTTTATGTCTTCACACCTCATACCTTGTAACAGAGAACCTGGCTAGCTCTATATATTTTTAACTCTTGAGATCATATCTCAGTTCTCTCTCAAGAGTCTTTGTTTAATGAACTTAGTTTTCAAATAAATCTTGGCTCTGTTTATAGCAGATGAAGAGTACTTTTGCATTCCAGCTTACAGAAATGGGTGATAAAGTTGGGTCAGAAAACTTGGTAGCACTTCATTCCTCTAGTCAAAGAGCATAAATTCTGAATGCTGTGCTTGGATTGCATCCAGTGTTCACTTTTTCAGCAATGGAAGAAAGGTAGAAAGCAGAAGTGTGTAGTACAGCACTGTTCCTAATCTAGGTCTAAATCAAAGCTGCAGTTCTGTCCTCATAAAACAATTACATTCTCCTGTGTGCAATGCTTTTTTATTATTGTTTATTAATTTTTAAAGCCAAAAATATTTCCATTAGATCCTTCTAAACATTCTAGTACTAAATATTTGTCCCTTCCTTTCATTCCTTTATTTGTGCTTATGAGAAAACCATCATTAGTAGATATCATGCATAATGGTTAGGAGAAGAGAAAATTGAAACCATCCTGTTGCAGTTGTTTTCAGCCTGTGTCAGTAGGCTGTTGGGGCTGTTGAATACTGTTAAAAGATCTACAGAAGCTAACAAAGAAAAGTGATCTTATTATAAAATAGGCTTAAATTCACAATGCAGGGAACTTGTCTTTTCTCAGAAATAGTTCAGGAGATCAACCTTTAAAGCAAGATTAAAAAGAAGGGAATGTAGATGTTGCTCAAAATGTGTTGCATATTCAGTGTGGTATTTCCATTCTGCATTCTCTTATAGTTGCATAGTTTCCCCATAATAAATACATGTATTTCTTCACGCTCAGTTTTGGTAGTGAGGCAGTATTTCAGAACAGCTATTTTAATCAAGTTTTATTAAAAATTTTACAACTATCCATTATATTAAAATAAGTATATTATCTAACTTTTGGGGGGAGAGAAATAAAAATCTCAACTGCCATTTCTGCTGAGAGCTGACATTCTCTTGCTCTCCATCCATAGGAGCTTCCAGCCCCTTTGCTTGATGAGCAAAGAAATGAACTGGGAGAAGAAGCAACATCTGTTAAGTCTGAAGATTTTCAGGATTCTATGAAAATAGCCTGGCGCTACCAAAATTTACCAAAAATGGAGGTAATAGGTATTGCATGTTTTTTTCCTCTTGCAGTCAAAATGAATTTGCAGAGCATATGCTTTTCCATAGAATCTACACAACACGACTGCCAACAGACAGTTTTACAGGATTGCCTCCTGAGGGCAAATTATCATAAACCACAAATACCAAAGTAGTTTTGATTACTAAAGATACAGAGAGAAAGGGAATTTGTGAGTGCAGGAAATGTAAAACTTTGTGCAGACAGTAATAACTTAAAAGTAAAAAAAACATTAACATTCCATGGGATTTTTCCATTAGTATTATTAAATAGAGACAGCTTGTTGTGAAAGTTTTAATAATTTGGTCACTTACAAACTTTCCCCAAATTTAGTTGTACACAAATTGCTTAAGTAGGTTTAATCAGCAGTACTTACTAGATCTCTGTGGTGAAAGTACTGGTGTTAAAGCAAGCTGTTGACCTGCTTATCCATGTGCATAACAGAAGTAAGCGCTTGAGATTATATCAGCATCACTGTCACTAGAAACTAATCACTGTGCAGGGAGAATATAAGAAACAAGCCCAATGATCAGTCTTTCAGAGTTTGCAATTGTTAGTGTTTTGTGACTAATATATCTCCAGAGGCTGGTGACTTTATTTAATCCAATGGCACAATCAACCCGTAATAAACTTACAGCATTTTTGATGATCTAGAACAAAAAGCTTATTTTCCCCATACATTGTAGCTTACATTCATAAATTCTGTTTTAGATGTAGTCATACCTGACTAGTAAGCTCAGTCGTAGTCTTAAAAACATAATTGGAATGTGACAAAATGATCTTACAAGGCTTGGCATGTTTGGTTTTCTGTGAAATTGCACAGACATGGTTATATAGTTGTGTCCGAAAAGACTTATATATGGTGACATACCAAATCAAACAGCCTCCAGGGTAATCGTATAATCTTATCAATTTTATTATTGTGAAGCTGGCTTTGCCACTCTGAACCATCCCAAAAAAAATTTGTCTGTTTTAAAATCTAACAGAATTTCTGGTACATTGATATTGAAACGATTGCATATTGGTAATAAATGGTGTTCTGATGTCCTAACAAAACAGAAAAACATATAAATAATCCAGGTAGATATGTAGTCATCTTCTATAACTTCATAGAAGTAATCACTTCTTCCACTAATACAGTATTTCACTATAATACATAATGTACTTATCCTCAGTTATTGAAATTTGATTATGCAAGATAGAATAAAATCTTTTGTGGGGTATTTCCCTTGTTACTGTGGTTGCTTTCTGGATAGTCATGGATACTGATCAATCTGAATAGCTGAGATACAACATTTTTAATGTATATGTTAAATTTATTTTAAAAATAAACTTGCAAATGGAGGTCTAAAGCCATTATTTTAAAACTTGCAAATGGAGGTCTAAAGCCATCTAGACCTAAAACTTCTCAGGATATTCTGATAAGTGAAAAATAGGTTTGAAATTTATATTTTTCAATATTTTATTTGCTATTTTTTATGTTTTATTTATATTGTTGGTGCTGTGCTACATTAATTTGATTGGTGAATATACACAACTGAGGAAAAATCTCATGTTGCCTTGCAGCACCCTAGATGTTTGATACACGTAGCCCTATCATTTAATTAGCAACTTCAACTGTGTTTTATTCTTTAAATATTCTTTTGCTGAAAAGAAAAAACAAGCCAAGAAACAAAACAAAACATTGAATTAATTTTCAAGGTGTATTTTCCAAAGTGGTTGAAATGAGAAACCAGTACATTTTGAAAAACTGCTGTCAAATAATTTCAAGTATGAAAGAGAGAAAATAGCTTTGCTTTAACTAGAACTCTAGTTAGCAGAAAACTTTTCCGTCCACTAATTGCCTTTACATGAAGTTAAGAATGCCAAGTAAAAGCTGGTTTTGTGGTATTTTTAGTCCTTAATTTAGTTTTTATTTCTAAATAATAAAAGAGATTTTCATTAATAGTTCACATATTCCCTTCCCTTTTATTACACCTTATTCCTGCATGGTATTTCTATTAATACTCTTAATGACTTCACAGTTGCTCTTTACATGTTGCATATACCTTGTACATTAGAAAAAGTCAGAAGGTAGAGAAGAAACTTTTCAGAGTAACATGTGCTTGATGTACCTTTGCCAGTTTGTTGCTTTCATCTGTACCAGAGGTTAATTTTGTTTAAACTTTTGAGTATATGAACAGCCTATTTTGCAATGCAAGACAGTGTGGGTTTTTCTTTTCTTTTCCTTTTTTTTTCTTTTTTTTTTTTTTTTTTGAATGAACTGCTTATGTTCTTGGGGCAATATATAAACTGTCACAGCATGAAATCAATTTTCTGCCTTGATTCATCCTAAATCTGAGATTTCTAGCACATTAGTATTGCAATTAGAAACATTAACAGCAGACGGTAGTATAAAAGCATGCTCTGCTCACTGACAGTTTAGTGTATTTCTCCTTGTGCAAAGTAGGAAAGAACAGGCTTCAGCCTCCAATCCACTAATAAATTTATCAGATCAAACTTAAGAGGAATGGAAAGTCTCTGCTTCACACTCTCCATGGTCATTCTGCTAAGGCAGATTATTCATGCTTACTTGATTCAGGTAGGCTTTTTGCAAGCTTCCCCACTAAGCCTGGGAATGCAGTACATTGAGGCCTATTCACAGGCTTCTGACATAGACCAAGCTTTTATTGCATGGTGTTTTATTATAGCCAAATCCTAGTCTCCACCCAGTTTGTAGGCACTGTGCTTATTCTTTTGAATCAAGAGAGGTTATCACCTACCTTAATCCATGCAGCAGGGTGGATTAAGGACACCAATGTGCCTCAGGATTCTCAAAGAGGATCCTGGAAACTTCTTGTTTCTTCTTTTTTGCCGTCTTTACTAAACTCTATTGGGTCTCAGTAAGGATTTGCATCTGAAATGGGCAACCTGGAGCTTTTCTCAATGAAGACATCAGATCAAAGTTCAGTTAGTCAAGGCCTTTCTAAAACATTAAGGGGGCTTGGAAGTACACAATAAAAAGATGAGCTCTGGCAGAGATTGCAGTAAAAACATTCTGATCTGTAATCCGGATAAAGAATAGATTATAGGCCAAAGAACAGCCCCTGTTTAAATTGCTTTCAGAATCCTCATTTTAAATAAAGTTACATTTTACATTAAAAATATTTAGGGTTTGATAGATTGTTGCATTTTGTTGGACTTCCTTCTTTAAAAATCAGTTACTGATAAATGAATCGGAACACTGACGTAGAGAATGTGGGTTTCGTATTTTTTTTTGAGAAAACTGATCTGCCTCTTATGACTAGATATACATGAACAATTTTGTGTTTTGTTTTTTTTTCATTAAAGCTAATTATGCATTTTTGTGAAAAGTTTGGGTTTAGTTTGGTTACTCGGTTGGTTTTGTAGGAAAGATTGTATTATTGTTGCTGTTTATATTCTTTGATAACTGATCAGGCCTACTACCTATTAATCAAATAATTTCAAAGTATACGCTCCAGATCAAATTATTGTAATTAATCTTAACAGGTTTTAATAAGATGAAGCATGAAACACAATTGTGGAAATACATAGCATGATTGATTTCAGGAAGCTAACTATAAATACATGGCCGTGTCTGGCATGTCTGTATTTTTTCTTTTATTAGCAAGACCAAGGTTTATGAAAACCATAAGCTTTCTCCAATAATTGGAGTTGGAACTAAATAATTTTTTTCTCAATACACAAAAAATTACTTAGATCCCATTACTGTAATAATTCAGTATACCTATTGCCATTCCTGTACATAGCAAGAATAGCAAGTGTGGAGATTGGAGCAGAAGTTGTTCCAAAGAATTTCATTGCATACACAGCCCTGCTTCGCTTTCAAATAGTGGATAAAATGTATATATATTGGTCTGCTTAAAAGAAAAATCCTTTTATAGAATGTTCTAAATTGTTACAGAACCTACTGAAAAACTTTTGAAATTATTGAGGGCATTTCTGATCACTTTTTGAAAAGAAGTCCATGGTTTTAAGTACAAACAAAATAATATTTCATTTTACCTACCAGTCCAAACTTCTCTTCAAAACAACCTTTCAGAAGCATGATGTTCTACAGCATCAGCATGTGTAAGTGTCTCTCTCATCTGTTCTCTTACACAACCACTGAGATATTCAGCTTCACAGTAAGTCTTGGAGTTAGGAGATAGAAAAACTACTTTAAAATATTTTTGCATATTCCTGCAGTCCAGGCTTAGGGTAGTTGTCCTGTAAATAAACTAATAGGTGATCTTTATTTTGACCTGCTGTTAGAAGTCCAGGATCCAGCACCTTTCTCAGTCTTGGCATCCTGCCAATTAGAAGTGCAGTGGTTTTGATTGATACTTGTATTATAAAACTTTTTTGGTTTTTCTAAATTACCTTGCTTTTTCCTCAAAAGAGTTAAAACAGTTGATGAGAGAATCTGATCCAGAGCACAGTGGTGGTTGTGCTATAACCTAAAGATCAGTTTCAGTATTGTTTTGATAAGCTGTTACTCCTTTACAGTGTGTTCATTAAAAATATACTATAAAGTGGTTTACATTTGTGCCAAGTGTTTTCCTTCCCTTGAAGTTCCTCAGTTGCCTCTGAGCTTTACTCTGCTTGACTGTTCATTCCAGGATAGCTTTGAAGGGCAGAAAAGATGAAGAAAATGGATTGCTGCATGAAGAGCAAAACCCGTTCAATTCCTATAGCAGACAACCTCAATGTACTATGTACTACTGCGTATTATAACAATCTAGGGGATGTTAACATTACATGTTTGATTCAAATAATGTTGCAGTTTGCTGAACTTCATTAATGTAGAACAAAAATATGCATTCTTTTCCTCTGTTTATTTATTAGCAAAGCATATTAAAATGTGTAATTCCTTCTATGGTATATATTAAATTCAGGGGATTTATGATGTTTTATATACCCAAAATTGCAACTTCATAAAATTTCTTCGTTACAGTAAGCCATGGTTATTGTATGTAATGTCTGTGTAATGCTCAACCTGCTATTTATTAAAAAATCAAGACATTAAAAGTAGTTTTAACTATTCCCTCTTTTTTTAGTTTTTTATTAAAAGCAGTTCTATGAAGATGCAATGGTAATTTTTCTTCTTTCTCATAAATAAACAAACTGAAATATTTCCAAAGTCAACTGAAAATGTTTCTGTACCAACATAACATTCCCAGATACTGAAAAATCAGATAGGTGGAACGCATCCTGGTCTTCATATTTCATATTATCTGGCCTTGTGAAATTTGTGTGAAAATTGTGTTCAAGCATCTAGAACATGTGCAAAAATACATATCTAAGAATATGACTCCACCTTTGTGATGCAAGTAAGTGTTGAATTCTCTGTGAAAAATTCACATTACAGACTGTCAACAGGGGTACCAAAACTTGGTAGTAAATATAATGTTGTTCTACTTGAAGGGTAGAAAAAAAAGAGGGGGAAAACCTCAGATGTTTCTTTCAAATGTATTGCTAGTTAGTTACTTTCTTTTGACAGATAATAATTTAATAGGTTATTGTAATCAGTATTGTTGTTTCTGCAGGCCAGCCCAACAACATCTACGAAGTTTGGTCATTATTATGATATATCCAAAACAATGTCTCCAGAACTGTTTCAGTCAATAAAATGGCACAGTTTTTACCTTCCTGAAGAATTGTCTTTACAGTGTACAGTGAAAACATGGTAAGTTGTAATACCACATGCCTGCATATTAGTAGTAAAGGATATTTTTGCATCTACACTTGCTGTGAAAAGTCTTGTAGTCATGCATGGCTCAGAAGCAGTTCAGCTGTGGTTCTTATATGACTCCTAAATGCCACAACTGGCAGCAAAGCTGCCATGGCGTAGCGACAGCTCAGTATACTGACTCCTTAGCTGAGGGAGGAAGCAAGTTGGCAGGGACAATTAAGGCAGACATTACTAGGACAGCCTAGCCCTGCTGACAGCTCTACTGACAGCTGAGTGTGAGAACTGGGGAAAACTACTACTCTCTGTCTGCGAACTACTGCCTGAGCCCCATACCCCATCAGCTTTCAGGGATGTGTGTGTTGTATGGCTATCAGTCTTAGGAATATATCCATACAGTTTTTAGGGCTAAAGAAGACAGGCTGTCTTTGACCTACATAGTTTAGGATGCTATATCACATTAGTTTATTATGTGACTTTTACTGCTTACATCCTACAGCTTCACCTAAGGAAAATATGAACTACTGTGAATAGATTAAAATTGCTAATGATGTCTTATGCAACACCCCTAATTCCAAAGCAAATCATAAACTCTTCTCTGAATGAAAACTTATTATGGTTTATGCCTATCAGTAATGAATTAAGGAAGATCAAGAGAAAACGAGTGACAGAAGCAAAGCCTCATAATAGCCTGTAGCACACACATCCATTATGTCTTTTTTGGAGACATTTCAGTTCAAGTCAAACATCAAATATGGGCTAGCAATCTCTTTGTTCAGCCCAGTCACTTAATTTATATAATACCTAGTTTTATGGATCCCAGTGTATAGGGCTGGTTCCTGGAAATGGTATGCTGTGTTGTGGTTGATTTTTACCGCACTCTGTGTGTGAAGATTTTTGAGCACGCTGAAAGCATCTTCAAAATATATTAGCAGTTTTGTGTGATTAATGCAACCGAAAAGCATAATCTGAAAAGCATGGTAGTGCTAAAACTGGAATTTGTGGAAGACATGCAAAATACTTCTGCTCAGCCATAACAAGGCTTTCCAGTTTTGATAGCAACCTTCAAGAAAACTCTGGATCAGTAAGAGAAGGTTGTAAAGATGGGTGTAGGGATAGAAATACAGGCTGGAAGCAAGGAGTTATTTTTCAAATGATTAGCATGAGATATTATTCTCATGATTAACATGGGAAGAAGTTGTCTTGCAGACATAGGTTGGGGGTGTTACAGAATCTCCATCACTGAAAATGGAGGACAAGTTAGGTAAATATCTGTCAGACCTCTTGAGGTCCTTTTCATTCCTATCTTCCGTGGTTCTTTAATACACATTAGTCAACACTGTTAAATAGAATACTAAGTGTGAATGTTACCAATTACTTCAGTGCTCTGAAAATGTTTATACTTTTATATTAGGTTTCTACTGTATTTTTTACAAATATAGTGATGAAATTCTGAAGGAAGAATTCCTTTCTTGAGGAATGAAAAGAATTTAAAAATCCTGTCAGGCGGATTTAATCTAAAAGTTTATAAATGTGGGAGGGAAAGGATATTACTGTGTAGGCATTAGTGCTTGGAAGATCAATACAGTGCTTCCAGCATGTAAAGCTAACTTCAATATATCATAAATAGTAAAAATTTCTGTTTTATTGACTAACTAGACAATGCTTTTGAAACAATACAATAGTCACAGTTGACTCTTCCAATAGCATTTAACAATTTGTACTAGACCTCATCTTTGACTGCCTGAAAGTCCCACTGAGAGCTTGAGCTAACCTTTTTTGATGTGTGTTAACAGTGGACTAGGAGTGTGAATATGGCTAGTTAGGATGTCTCCACTTAGAGGATATAATTTGCTAAACTAAGCTTCTCAGACTGGGGGTCTTAGATGCATAGCCCAGAAAACACCTGGTTACATAAACCTATATAGCATTGCAAAATCTCTGTAATCTATTAGGCTGACAGTACTTAAAAACAAGTACTGATAGCCTGGAAGGGACTAAAAAAATATTACAAGAATTAGTTGAAATAGAGAAAATCTCTAAAAATTGTTTGGGGTTGGTGTTGTTTGGTTTTTTTACATTTAATTTATCAAAGGGTTGCTAAATAATTCCAAAATAAAATTATGCAGTTAAAGCAGAAAATACACAAGAAAAGTAATGTGCCATGTTTTCCTGTATAGCTTATACTCTTCTGACAGCAGTGAGTATAGTGAACATATATTTTACAGTCCTTGGAAAAACAATGCTGCATCTTTTAATAAGCAAGATAATTACAGTGCTTCTGTTACTGGATCAGAGATGGGGAGGCTTTATTTAGACTCTTGTCCCTTTTAGAAATCATGTATATGTCATTCTCTTCCTATCCACACAAGCACTTGGCTTCTTTTTCGTCTTGCAAAGAAAGGAGATTCTTTGGCTAGTTCAACAGAACAAAGTTATTGAGTGGCTTTTTACTTTGCAATTAAAGACAGATTTGGAGGTTATGTACATCATTGGTTCACCTTAAAGTTTAGACTGGTCTTTCTTTTCTTTCCCGTGTTTTGCAAGCATGTGTGTATCTGCTTTTTTATGCGGGGAGGTGTGGAGTACTGTGTTTGATCTTTGTGCAGTTGTGGTACCTGATGGGTAAATTAGATTACAGGGTCCCCTTTTGACTGATCGCTCAAGATGGTTAGATGTTCATTGCCCCCTTATGAGCATTAAGTGAAAACAGATTGAGAAATCTGTTCTAAAGGAAGTAGTAAATGGGACTGGATGTTTGGTGCCAAAAGAAGGATAAATGTCTTTCTTATCTCCATATTTTTTATGTTAGGGAAGGGGCCCTATGTCCTGCTCTAGTGCTAAGGCTGGGTTAATAGGGTTGTGGGGCTTACAGCAGCAGTTTTCCAGTGGTTGTTGTTGCTAGGACATTCTGGTGTCCTTGTTGCATCGCTAAAGCTGGTACGTAACAGGAAGGCAGAAATATCCTCTGTGGTATATCTGTGCATCGCAGAAAAGGCTTCCTTTCTACCCCTCTACTTCTGTCCTTGTTGTTCAGTTGCAGTTATGAAAAGTTTGATAATCAAGGGAACTAAAATAATTAAGCAGCAGCTTTTCAGTAATACTCCTAAATTTTACCCTAAGAATTATGTGCTTTTGAAAAAGATTTATCTAGAGTCTAGATTTACTGGTAAGTTAAGATAGAACAGGTTTACCTGTCTTGCCTAATGGGGTCTCCTTATACATAATGCTATTTGTCATACCCTTGATAACCTAACCTTTGTTAACTGCTGAGAAACTATCAACAGAGAATGCAGACGCTCTGTTTTAACCAGGATACCTTCTTGCAGCTCGTGCTTTATCCATTGCTGAATTGCTAAACGAAAAAAACAAAAACAAAATGTAAAGAAGGAATTGTTTAAATTCATTATCAGAATTAAATGGTGTTTAGTAACAAAGCCAAAAAAAAAGTTTAGAAATTAGAAAATAAGAAATATCTTATTTCCTTCTTTAAATATTATACCAACCACTGCCAGAAGGGTAATGGAGCTTGGTTTTATAAATAGTGTTTCCACAATATTTTTCATGTCCTTGTTTACATTGCATGCTTCAAATTCAAGTAAACCATTAATACTTTAGCAAGAAGTAAATGAGCACATATTTATAAATTTTAAAAATTTTATATTCATTACATTATTTTCTTTAATTCTTTCTTTGCTGCAAATCTTTCGTGGATGGATTCATTGAAGACAGAACCATAGAATCGTAGAATGGTTTGGGTTGGAAAGGACCTTAAGATCATCTAGTTCCAAACCCCCTGCCATGGGTAGGGATGCCTCACACTAGATCATGCCAACCAATGCTTTGTCCGGCCTGGCTTGAGCGCTGCCAAATATGGAGTTTGTTTTAATTTTGGGACACTTTAATTCTGGTATTTTATTCTTTTATCCATTAGCTTTTAAAAGCAAGTTAGTAACAAATCAAGAATTGAAAAGTATTGTGATTGCAGTATATTCTCTGGCATCTCTATAGATAGCATAGCACTCACAAGCAAAAGAATTGGTAGATACACAAACTTGAAAATGGTAGTTTGTGGTGAGAAAGACCACAGTAATCTTTTCGTATTACACATACTGTGTCCCTAGCTGTGGCTAAAAGACAGTTGCAGACTCCTTTCTAATGGTGGTGAGCGGCAGCTTCTATTTTTTCCAGAAGGGTAAAGGAGTATCCAAAAGGGTACACAAATTCTGGTTATTGTGTAGTGTTGCGGGTTCTCTCCAGCTCTGGCAAAAGCAGGAAGAAATCACAGCACTCCATAAGCAACAAGGATTATGTGTTTGTTGGAATAGTGCAAACACATGGAGAGAGAGGACATTTTGACTAGTTTGGAGGCTAAAGCCCTCTTTGCTGCCACCAGCCCTGTCAAGTGACACCTGCAAGACTGTACAGGTATAACATTTAGCAGACATCCCTTTTGCAGCTAAACACTATGAAAGTAGTTGACTTCATAAGAAAAAGTTTACTCTTTCATTCCTCTTTGAGATGCTTTTTTTGTATAGCAAGGTAGACTTTACAGGTTAAATGTCATGTTGAGATTATGTATTACCAGTTATTTTCAGCTGTGAATTTCACAGAGAGTTAAACTATTAAGGTATATCAGTTTAACCAGTAGCCTTGTAGGCTGCTAAATCTGAAAACAAATAAATGCAGTTTAATTTGAGGATTCTCCCTTTTATTTATATCTGAGAAGGGTAATCTCTCAATGTTCTATAACATTAAATATTTCAGAACTTGAATTTAGTAACACTGTATGGCTTATTTGATTGTAAATGTTTGTAACTTAAATATATCATTTTGGGGGGTTGAGTTTGGATTGCTACTTGAAGGAAATGCAGAATTCTGAGTTAAAGCTATGGTGTAAAAGTCAGATGTTTGTAACTCTGAAGTGCTTCTAAGAAGAGCTGTCTTCTCTCCTGTGCAAAAGCATGAAAGCAGTTTATTTGGGTTTATTTAGGTGTTCATCAGTAAAATATATTTGAATAATATTTGGCTCTACTAAAGTAGCAGGAATAGTTTCATTAATGTTTGGATATCTTTCAAGGTCAGTTCCCACCCAGGCGGTTATCAAACCCAACATATAAAATTATTGGAGCAATTAAAAGTATTTTTAGTGACAACATTTTCAAAATAATTTGTCATATTTCCCAAGAAGTACAGGAGAAGGTTTGAGTCCACAACCCTTGATAGGAATTAATGAGCCTACAAGGAAATGGTGATTCTAGAAAAGATAGAAGGGCAGTGAGGAACCTCCATCAAGTCCAGACACACAAGCCAGTACTCTCTATGGGATTTAACAAAATAGTATGTCTCTTTCAAAAGTGAACAACTGGCTTCTTTTTTTTAAAGATTAGATCTTTCTGTACTTTGTATGTATCAGCCTGTGGCCTGGAGAGCATAGCTGGGATGGATGTCTAAAAATGTGCTTTGGATGTCAAGGAACTGAACCTTCTGAGATTTTGACAAGACAACTTGCTGAACTTTCATTTGGTTTTAAGTCTGCTTAAATCCATTTTTAGCTTCTGGTTTGCTTTACTTATGCTGTATTTTCTAAATAATACATAAAATAAATTCTATCTCACAATTCAGCTGTCATGATAACACCTGTACTGTGTGGATACAAAATGGAACCATAGTAAATATGTCTTACTCTCTTAATAAAACAAATTAACTGCATGAACTTTTGAATTCAGAAAGTGTTGTCTCTTTCTGTTTTTTTGTTTTGTTTGGGGTTTTTTTTGATCTTGATTGTTGTAGCAGTTGTCGTGTTAATTTTTTCAGTAGTAGAAAGTCAGCTGTTCCTTGGAGTAGCAGTAGGGTAGGTCTTTTTCAGTTATAGATTAGTGCTGTGCTGTGATGATTTCTACTTTAAGTTGATAACATTAAATCATTAATCTTCTAGATGGATATAAGCCTGATGTAATTAAGTTATCTTAATCCCTAGAGATGTTAGCTTTCACTAAATGTCTGAGCATGATACTACTTGTCATGAAACAATCACAACTGCTTAGAATGTCAACTTTATTCTAAGAGGGTTAGCTCTTTTTTCTTCTGTGACTCTTTTTTTCTATATTATGCTTTCAGACCGAGTGCTACATCTGCTTGTATTTTTTTTTTTTAATACAGCTGTTAGAGACATGTAGAAAAGTATTAAAATGTGTTACTAAACTATGTCTTCTTACCAACAGTAATATGAACAGTGCTTATGGAAGGCTGCTTCTGTCCATTCAGAGGGTCATTTGCCAGCAAGGGTTTGATGGCTCCGATCCCCAGGTACTGAAGACCATTGTACTCTTCTGTAACTAATGTAGTTTTCTGAATTTTCAAGGGTGGCATAAGAAGGCCTTGGACAAAATAACAAAGAAAGAACTGTTTCTAAGCATTGCAGGAGTAAAGAAGCAAAGTAAATATAGTGTGTGCTTCATATTTTAATATGCTTTGGGAGTTGTTACCTGTTACAGATGCGAGACCATGCGAGGAAGAACTGTAAGTTAACATTAGTAAATGCATATTCTGTGCAATTAACTAATAAATGGATTGCCAAATATAATCAAATTAAGCAAAACACATTTTCCCCTGCAGTGGGGGATTTTCAGACTACAGCTTTAGCAATAATACATTCAAGACTGTTGAGATTGAACATTTAATCTTAAACTTTCAGTACTTTTCAATGTTATTTGAAGTGGAGTGGAGTGAATATTTTAATGAATTAAATGACATGCATCTTTATATAGCAAGCATTGAAACACAAGTAAAGAAATAAGAATGCTATTTCAACTCACAAATCAAAACAGCTTACCAGATTTCTAATAATCTCTGTACTCTTCATAAATCATATTGTGGGTAATCAAAAACATTTTAAATGTAACAACATAGGCGGAAAGCCCTTTTTTTAATTTGAGCAGAGCCCTATCTATTATTCTTTGTCATATTCAGTAATATGCAAGTTCTTTGGAGTTAATGGAAATAAAATAATAAATTACATATATTGGTGCTTAATTGACAGGTAAATTGTCTTTATTGTAGAATAGCAGTGTTGCTACAATAGAAGTTTGGTAGTATAGGTGCAGAGACCCTCGCTGTGCACTATAGTTGAATATCTTCTTAGAAATATTTTTTGTGGGGAAGATAATGTTGGAATGGATGTTTTTGTGTCTAACAGCATGTTATAGAAGCATTACCTGCACAGAACACTTGTATGTAAATTTAGGTTGTTGGTGTTCAGTGTCTGCTGAGCTTTATGGGAGAGCCTGCCTTTGCTTTGGTGGCAGTGCCAGTCTGGAGAAGTAAATTGGTTCCTGACAGACACCTCTCCCCCCGTGCTGTGGTAGCCATGGCAACAGGTATGTCATTCCACCACACGACTCCGCCTACAGAGATGCTCCTCCTGCAGAGTGACAGGTCCTGTGGAAGCCTGAGAGCTGCAAAGAGCAGTACTGAGTGAAACAAACACCCTGCCAACCGTCAGTCTGCAAACCACCACATACTGAAGAGATTAGGCTAGTGTTTCTTATTTTTATTTGTCTATTCCTGAATTTTTTTTTTACAAGTAAAAGAAAATGAAGGCTGGTCAGAGCCAGTATTTTTTTGTTTTTTTTTCTTGCAAGCAAAACCCTCCTGGATAGCTGTTTTCTGCAGCTGTTATTCATTGTTTTAAAATGCCTTACAAGTGTAAATAAAGCAAGAACAGTACTGATCAATTTAACATTAATCAATTTAAAAATATATGTTCACGAAATTACGTATATAAGATTCTGAGGTGTAGTTTTAAAAAGTAGAAAAAGAGTCCCTTTTCAGGCCAGTTTATCTGTCTAGAAAACCATTAGCGCTCACCTCAGTCTGTTTCAAGAGAATGAATATGCATTTTCAATGCATATGATTTTTCAATGCATATGATATTTTCATTTTGCATTTGATTTTTCAGTGCATATGATTTCCTGGAGTGGTTTCTGTTACTTTCTTTTAAGATTCCTTCTTTTCCCCATGTGTCTTCTTTCTTTGTACACTGAAATTTCGTACATTTAGAAGCAGAATATAATGCTTCTTAAAAATACATCCAGAATTAAATGTTGTTATGGCCCAGAAGATACCTTGGATCTTTTTATCTTCTAAATCTGAGAAATTCACCTCTCTACTTACTAAACATTCAGAAGTACTTTTTAAGTAGCCAGATAGGAAGATCGTAGAGTAAGGACCAGCCTGTACTCTTCTGGACCTGAGTCCTGTCCAAGCTTCTGAGAAGTTTGTTCATATATGCTCTTCTCACCCCCAGACAGTGATCTTCCTTTTGGGTGGGTCCTGCTGCAGTGGCTTTCATGAAGTTCAGAGAAACCTGCAAAGGCCAACATGTTGCAAAAGGTAGTGGATTTTCAGGAGATTTATTTACTGATTTAATGGACCTTTTAAGATCCATTAATCGCTGTCTATGATTGACAAAAGGTGATGACATTAAAGCTTCATTTTATTGTGAAGTGTAATCCTTCCAAAATCTCTAGATTGTGGAGGTCTAGAAATGTGTTGCTTCTTGGATTAGGATTCCTATGAAAAATTTAACCTGACTGGTAGAGTTTTCAGATATTTTTGGCTAATTTCACGCTAGTAGGCCTATGATACTCAGACTTGCTACTGCTTTTGACCAGTATTTGGAGAGGGGCCTGAGGAAGAGTGAGCAGAAGGTGGCTCACCCCAGTTCTCAGAGGTTCGACACAATTAGGAAAATTAGTGAAAACTGCTGTTAGAGGCTTAGTAGACCACTGATAAAAATAGGCATCTCTGGAACCTAGCAATACGAGTTAATGTTAGTTTTATACAACTGTCTGCTGTTTGCCCTTGTAGATTTATATTTCTTAACAATCCTGCATGACTTTGAGGGCCTTTGGACAAAAAATCCTGTTACAGGTATTAGGCTACAGAAAAGTTTGGTTGAAGTTAACCAAAGTACTGACTTGTTCGTTCGCACTGACAGCCAAGATCTATCTGGAAATGTGTTGTTTGAATGACTAACCTAAAAATATGAACATCAGTTTTACATCCTTTCTAAAAGTCCCTAGTAACTCTTTGCTGCTGATCATTAATTTTAATTCTTCATAAATTGAGCACAGTTTGAAGTCATACAGGAGAGCACTTGTTTGTTTGAGAATATTTAGGGGTTTTCATGTTTGACAACAGAACTTTCCTACGCAACTCTGTGTCCTTACCATTTCTTTGGTATGCTTTGAAGCTCAAGCTGGGTGACTTTGAATGATAAAGTTGGGAGGAGACTGGTTTTTTGTTCACTTGGAGTTGGGGTTTTTAATTCTCCATAATCAGAATTCTTGCTACCAAAGCAAACATTCTTACAAAGATTACATGAAAAAGGTTAAAAAAACAAACAACAACAAAAATCCAAATTTCCAAGCTAATGGCAGTAAAAAGATCTAGTGGCAAATCTAAAAAAATGTTATCCTACTGTTTACTGTAGATTTGTTGTTATAGAATATTAGACTTGGGCTTTTCTTATATTTCAGTTATGGAATAAGCCATTGGCCCTGACAATTATACCAGTAGAAATTCTGTTACTGGCCAAAATAAATACATCTGATATCTGGTGTTTGAATAGCTATGTCTTTTACAACTCTTACAGTTTAATATTGTGAAACAAGCATCTCTTATCCTTTGTCCAATAAGAGAACTGATACTTTGGGTGTTGTAATGTATGTTCTTAAGACAAAATGTTTTTCTCATTAAAAAAGTTTCTGTAAGACTTATGTATGTTTGCTGTGAAATTCTGAAATCCCAGAACACTTTCTCTGCATGGTCAATATCAATTATAACTGAATAAAGCTGTTTTCTTAAATGCCTGATACTGTACTATGGTTTAAACACACATCAAGAAATGTGTGAATCTGCCCTGATTAAAAGTCGCTAAAGAATACTGGTCTAGCTTCTATTTTCCCTGCTCTTTTTACAACTCTGAACGTCCAAGTCTAACAAATATCATACAGAGAAGTCAGATTGTGTCATATTATCCTGTGCTGTTTTCCTGATCTTCATATGGCAGTGTAAAAAGTTAACTTTACCTAAGTAAAGCCTGCAAAGCCCAAGAGTAAGGAGTCAACCAGAGTTAAAATATATATTGCTTCCACAAAGATAGTGAGCAAATTGGCAGATCAGCTCACTGTATAAGCCATGAGAGTGGGATGGGTGTAGAGCCATGTGGTAGTAGCTGTGTTTCACAACTCAAGCTCTGTCTAACCAATATGGAAAAGGAAGTATTTGTAAGAGTAGCCTCGTGTCTTGTCCAAATATTTCCTCTGGATGTCCAGAGCAGCAGTGCAATATTTTGTGCTTGAGAGTGACTGTTTATTCCAGCTGGTGGAGATGAACATCTACAATTTATCAAAGGACTTCAGTGTAATGAAAGTACGTGGAAGTTTTTATTTATCAAAACTAGTATTTATATATGTGTGTGTGTGTGTGTGCATATGTATTTTATAAAATTTAAAAAAGCCTTTAATTATGAACCCTGAATTCTAGAAATGTATTTTTGATCATCTTGTACAGGAAGTCTTTCAACAAGGGTGTCTCATCCTTTGATAGCAAATGTACCTCAAATCCTTCTCAAAGATCACCAGGAAAGGTCACATCAAATAAGCAGAAGTGGGATTTGTCATCATCTGAAATGAGAGATGACATTTATTTTGCATAAACAAATTATAAGTCTGGTTTCATAATCTGCCCCTTCAGAAAAGGGACCTCTGCATCTGTTGGCTGCTCTTCTGCCTACTGCAGGGCAGCAAAGAGTCTTAGGCAGGTAACACAAGTGGCTGTTTAGGATTTTACATGTCAAAACAGCTTAGATTCTAGTACCCAGTAGCTAACTAAAGCAGGTCCACACTTAACGTCAAGGACTTTCAGAAAGGTGTGGTCCTTAAGAGACAATCTGCTGATGTCTCAGACATCAGCATCAGACTCAGTTTCTCCATAGCTGTGGGTAAACCTTCCTTCAGTAGTTGGAAGGAATTAACAAGAATATAGACGATACTTAAAGACATCTAAAATAGTGAAAGGGCCATACACTGGTGAGATAGACCACTGACCTTGTTCCTTTAGAAGTAGCAGAAGTGAAACTGAAGCCAGATGAATAATCAGGTTGTGAAAGTAACACAGTGGAAAGCTGAAAATAGAGAGAAAAGTTGTGTTTTGATTAATCTCAGGCCTTCCCAGCAGACCAGTTTAGAACTGGGAGATTCTTTAGCATGTTTTCTAAGGAGGAGAGAAAGGGCAGGAATAATCACAGTATTATTGGATTTTGTCTCAGAATATACTGACATTTAACAAGTTAAAATATGCTGATTAGTAGTTTGGTATTTCTGAATTTTAATTTGTATTTGCTTAGCTGGCATAGTATGATATCCAGTCAGTGAATAAAATGCCATTCCATTTGTAATTTTTACAAGATCAACTGAGATTAAGCTATGATTACATAAACTGTGTTCCTATTATGGATGTGAATTCTATGCACTGTATTTTTTAAATGCATTACATGAAATTTTCCTCTTAGTGTGTACAAAAAATCAAACGTGACTTCTTTTGTATTTTTTTTCCCAATAGAAAAAACAAAAGAATATTTTGCGGATAGGAATTCAGAGTCTGGGCTCTTTGTTGTGGGGTGATGACATTTGTTGCAGTGATACTCCTGAAGATATTCATAGCCTTACAAAATTCCTGTATGTTCTCCGTGGCCTCCTCAGAAAATCTTTGTCAGCCTGTATCATTACAATACCTGCTCACCTTATCGAGGTAGGAATGCTCTCTTTGCTATATTTCATAGCTGACACATCAGCTAGCAAGAATGGGAAGTTTATGTTAAGAAAATAAATGCAATTTTGGAAACTCTTTTTGTTCAAAGGGCTGTTGAAATGTGACTTTGCTGCAGTGTTTATATACTTTTGTGGGACAGCATGCTGTAACATCTGTAAAGACCTAAGCATAAAGCCGTCTTAGATAGTTATGCCTTATGTGGGTCTTAGTAATTTTCTCAAAACTAGCAAAATTTCAGAAAGTGTAGAAAATTAAAGAGAATTCTGCTAATCTTTTTTTTTTTTTTTTGCCAGTGTATTCATCAGTCCAGTGTATTCATCTGACATGCTCCTTATGATGATGTGCAGTCTTGTTTTTAAAGCCAGGAATTGAAAGATAAAGGTTTCCACTTTAATTCTAATATCCCCATTTACTGGCACCAGGAGCAAACCAGTTACATTATCAGGGTAATTTTCCCAACTGCAAAATCAGGAGCTGTTAATAGCACCTATTCTGAGAGTATATGGACACTTAAATATATCTTCTGGAAATAAATGTTTTTACTAAAACAAAAATGTCAATAAGGTTTGAGGGTTTTTTGGTTTGTTTTTTTTTTTTATCTGCAAGTGGTAATGTAAGTTACAAAAGCAAAATTATTATTCATATTCTCAACTAGAGAACCTATAATTTTACATATTAATTTGATTTCAGTATAGTAAAAAAAAGTACTGCATAAGACCTCTTATTATGCAAAGTATTTTCATAGTAGATGAATTTATCATTAGATTAAATCCTATCTTGGGAAAGTACATACCACTTACTTACGTATATTACATTTTGTAAAGGTGTTTGAATACCTGAAATGTTATTTATCTAGATACCTGATGCACTTACTCCTTAGGAAATATAGAAACTTGATTTTCTAATTTTACCGTTGCAATCAAAAGTGTATGAATATTCCTCTTGCAGTGCAAACCTCCATCTCCTTACTCAGCTATTTTTAAACATTAGATGGCAGTTTGCCTTCAAAAAGATTGACAGTAAAATTTAATGTAATTAATAGAATTTGTGAATGTAAAACTAACACCCTTCTTTTTACATGTTGGAATTACCTGTCCATAATTGGGATGTACAATCAGTTTCATTGTAATCTTTTTTTATAAATTATAAACAGTATGATCATATTTTAGAGAAACCCAGAAGCATCTCTAAGAAGCAAACTGAAGGACAAAGGTTTTAGCAGCTGGGAGGCTGCTTTTGGGTTTGTGGTTTAAATTCCATATAAATTGATTGGAATGGAGTTAAGATTGATAATATGTCTGATTTTTTAAAGAACTGATCTTTTAATTTTCACAGAATTGTTTTACAGTAACAGACTATATTGAATAAAAAACAGCAAAGAAACATTAATCCTAGAGTCTTTGCTTAGCAGCCTTGAACAAATGAGAGCATTTAATTTTTCTGAAATTATTAAACTTCATGTATCCTTCTTTATCCATTAAACTACAGAAAAAACTGTCATTAGGAGGAGCAAAGCTGCTGAGGGTTCCTTATACCCCACATTACTCAGTTCCCAGAGCCCTGCTGTGTAGTTGTTCCACTCTCCAAGAAGCCTGTTAAAGAGCCCCTGAGAGCATGTGTACAGCCCTCCATGTTAATAGTTAATTGGTGAGGATGGCAAGATGAGAGGACAGCCGAACATGTGGTCTCTCAGGCTCAAGCCGTAGACAGACCTTTAGTTATAATAACAGCAGCTGCTCACATTCTCACAACCCAGCTACTCACCATTCTGTTGCTGAGGTTTCTTGCTGGATTAAAAAAGTAATGAAAATATCTTTTCTTTCCAAGAGAGTAAGAGAGAGGGGTTTGGGGTTTTTTCTAAGTGCATTTCTGTATATAATTTGATCAGAGTAAGTTCTAGCATACACTGTCTCTGTAGAATCTTAAAGTCAGTACACTGAAGGCATAAGAAAATACACACTATCTTTCTGAATATGTAGTAAATTCCATGTTTATTCCCTAAACTACTATTTCTGTATTTTCTGTTATCTTTTACTTCCCAGCTATATTAATTAGGTGGTCTGCAAGTAAATTCTTCACATGAATAATTGCCATACAAATAAATCTAAGTTCAAAATCAGAATTAAATCAAGGGGTTGGCTGAATAAGACATACAGAAAAATAGTTTCATTTTTACTTCCTTTGTCTTGAAAAACTAAATTTTCAGTAGTCACTCATACCATGCCTTGTCTGTGCCAGCTGCCAGTACTAGTTACTCCAGTGAAAAAGAAAGAAAACTCACAACTGGTAGTACTGATTTTAAGCAGGGACAATATCTTTCCAAACCAGACTAGTTAAATTTTTTATATGTAGTATATGGATAGTGCAGATACAGATAGATATATATAGATATGGAATGTATGTATCTATAGTTGAAGATTGGTTTCTTTTGCATATTTTCCTAAATATTTTCAGTCTTGTACTTTCACAAATTAAATCTACCTTGTTTCTTTCTTTTTCAGAAAGTTTAATTTTGCCTTTTCATAAATTCTATCTTTGCTCTTGGCTGATGAGACAATAACATGAGGCTCATGAGGGTCCCTATTTTATCTTTTCTGTATTCCGATTGTTTTATAATTTTCTCATGCTGCTTCTTAAATCTGTTTTTAAACAGTCACTTTTCTTTTAATTACATTTTACTTTGCTACAGTGATGTAATACAATAATGCTATTATTGTTTGTTCACTTTTTATACATTTTAGTGTCTGTTTTGTCTCTTTGATGACCACTGAACATTAAAGAGTGATTTTCTTCTTGATGCTTTTCCCTTCTGTGGTACACATCCACCAATGTAGCTCTTTCATTATGCCAGGTATTTATTTTCTTTGATTTAATAACTTTGAATTGCATTTATCCAAAGATGTTGCTCATTCACCCAGTTTGATGGGACACTGAATGTCTTCACAGTCTTCTGTAAGGCTATATTTTAGTAAAATATACAAATTTACAAAGAAATCTGGTTGTGTACAGAGGCATTTTTTCAGGATAATTTAAAGAAATTGTAGTCCACTAAAGAATACAGATTCTTTGTGTTTTGTTGATGAAACTTGTAGCGCAAGCAGTGCATGAAAAAAAAAAAAAGAAAATTCTCTTTTCTCAACCACAAAAATAGGCATATATTATTCTGGAAGAGGATTTCAAGAAAATGACACTAAAAACTTACTCAATTATAAATTTTATTCAGATGATGTGTGACAGGTTTTACTTGATTGATATTTTCTACCGATTGAACATACTCTTATCTTACACTGTCTGTCAGATAATAAATATTGAGATACTTATGAGTATGATTAAAATAGTTGATGGAAGGTTATTTTTCAAGTCTTTTTACTGCTGCTTCAAAATGCATTGTGCCTATGAAATCAGATGGTGCGTTTGAAAAGGGAGAATTACTTCTATTTTTTAAATTTAGCATTGATCAAGGAAGACAGACTGAAGAGGGATTTAATTTGTTGTTACACTTTCCAAATATAAGGAATATTCTAAAACCAAGTAAGGACTCTTTATCTGTATGTTGATAATCTGTGCTTTTTTAGTACCTAATTAAAAAAAAAAAAAAAAGAACTTTTTGTGCAAGGGAGTGTCACTTAAAGGACTTTAATGTCACTGTTTTATACTTGCAAAAGCCCTAAATTAGAATTTGAAGTCTTTTCCTATTGTATTTTTCTTCTTTTTACTGGAAATCATTAATAAATCCAGAAACATCTTTCTCCCAAAATACTAAACAATGTTCATAATTCTGTTCCTGTTCTTCCCAATTTTGTATGAATTAATATTTTTTAGAGTAGATTCTTCTTTTCACTGGGAGAAAGTGTAACACTTTTATTAAAGCCATCCTTTATCTTGAACTTGTAGCTGTATTTATTACTGGTAAGGACTAACAACCATATTAGTCAGCATGTACTAAGGGAAATTAATTGACTAATGAAAAGTCAATATCAAGAAGTCTTGTTAGAGAACCGGTCCTTGGAGTCTGAAGTTCTGTTTAGCAAGATGTTTTCGTTATTTCATCCAGTATGTTAAAAAATTCATTTCCTACAATATTAATGTTTTGATGCCTTGAATTCACTGAAGTGCATATATTACTGTATGTTTTGGTGTAGAAAAATTCTGAAACAAACCTTTTCACATCCATAGGCTTTTGTGTTCACACTGAGTAATTTAGCAGCTAAACCTGAAGTCAAGCAATCGAGTGCTTTAGAATCCATTGGTAATCTAGGATTATAAAGTATGAACTTCTAAAGCTTGTAAATTTCTCACAGTTTGAAATCTTTACTTCGAAGAGAAGAACTAAGAGTGATTGTTTGCCTTAGAACTAACTTCTGAAAGTTAAAAAGTGTAAAATGCTGAATACCCTTCAAATGTATTTGTATATTCAAATGTATTTGATGTATTTGATAAGGTAGCCACTGGCACAAATATATATTGAAATCAAATATGTAGTTTTTATATCATAGTTAAGCAAGCTTTCAGAATTTTCTGCAAAGTAGAAAAAAGTCTGATGAAATGGGATATTGGTATTGTTTAACTTGCTTTTTAATGTTGCAAATTGGTTTTCCTTATATGTGAAAAACACATTTTAACAGCTATGCAGAGAAATACTAAGAGACATGACTTTTATGACAGGTGTTCTTGGACTATCCACATAGTTTTTTCATATCTGAATATTCTGGTTTGTATATTCTGGACATTCACAAAAGCATCTTTTAAATTATGATTAAGTAGGAAGCTCAGAGAAGTATACGATTTAAAATTTAAATTGGGCAACATTAAGTAATTATTATTTTTTTTTTCTATTTCTATTGTCCTTGATAGTATTTGCTAATAAATTTGCAGGAGAAATAGAAATATTTTGTTGCTTCATAAAACAAGTTTATGGTTGCCAATAGGCTGTATTCTGGCTCTGCCACTTGTGGTTTGGTAACAGGTACCATTTCAAA